CCCCGGGGGGTGCAGGGAGAGGCCTGCCCGCGCCCCTTTCACTTCCCTTTCTGCTCAATGTCGGACCGGTGTGACAGCGGGGCCCGTTCCCTGACGGCGGGGCCGGTTCCCCTCTGCCAGCTCGGGCATCCCCGCGGCCCCGTCGAGCCAGGGCTTGCCCGAGGGGCCCCGCGGGGGTCGGTAGCGCCCGGTCCCCAGCTCCTGCCCAGCCCTGCCTCACCTGCTGGCCCACAGCCCCACGGTCATCTCGTTCCAGGGCTCTGCCGGAGCCCCCATCCCGCTCCCCGGGACAGCCAGGCTCAGGCGGGTCTGCCGGCGGCTGCCAGGCTACTGGAGATGGGCAGCGCGGGGTTGCTCCGCGTGAGGGTGCGGTGCTGTGGGTGACCTGCACCCGGACTGGCCCGAGATCTGGTTCCCTGCCTCTTCTCCACCCTTCCCTATGCACATAGCCCCCTGCCCTGCTAGAAGGAGCAAGGAAGGGCCCTGGCTGACTTTTCATGGATGACATACCTGCCCTGGGCTTTTCTGCCCCTCAGGGCCAGTGTATCAGCCTTGGGAAGGGGCTGGCAGTGCTGTGGGCTGGGGACACTCGGTTAACACCGCAAGGCGCAGGGGCACGGGGCTATGTGTGATCGCTATCTGGTAGGAAATCTGGGGAAATGTGGGGCCACCCTACCAGAATCACTGCCACCCCACTTCAAAGAAAGGACGGGTGGCATCAGGCAGCGTAGGCAGCTCTGCTGCGGTCTGTGGTTAGCACAGGCCTGGGAAGAGTGGTGAGAGGAAGCCCTCACCTTGGGATGTGGGTTGGTGCACAGGTTAGCACAGATGTGCTTGCAGAAGCGAGGCAGTGCTGGAGCGCTGGGGAGCAGCATGAATTCACAGGTCTTGTTTCTTCCAGTGCTGGGAGCCTGGTGACACCATAAGATGCTTTGATAAGCAGTATGAACACAAGGGCAAGTGCTGTAACCGGTGTCCACCAGGTACGGAGACCCCTTCCTCTTCCTGGGGACCCCAAGGCCTGGCTGTGCCAGGACCCACTGCCTGGCCACGGTGGAGTGCGCCCAGCTCAGTGTGACCGAACCCTTCCACCCTGTTGCCAGCAGTGCTGACAGCTTCACCTCCCTGTGTCACCTCAGTGCTAGAGCAACTGGGGGCCTCGTGGGTGCCCTGGGAGACCCCCTGGATGTTACCAAATCTGCCACAGCTCTCTTGGGACTGTCTGTGCTCCTGCAGCTGCAGGACCCCACGGTACAGGCAGCTTGTGGGGAGAGCGCTGGCACTACCAAATCATGATGGTATTTGCCAGCTCCTGCTGTCACTGCCAGATTGTTTCCCAGTCCTTGGAGTGCTGGAGGCAGTGAATGCCTTCCCACCCTGCTCTCCTGCCCCAGCACCCCTCCCTACCTGGCCCCATGCAGCATGCACAGCCAACAGGCGAGCTGGCCCCTGTAGCCCTGGCCGCTAGAGGGGCATCGGGCTACCGAGCAGCATGCCGCAGTGGCCCTGGCATCCACAGCTGCCAGTGCTTCCCTGTCCTGCTGGCAGAGCTGCTGCCTGGAGAGGGGGAAAGCCCCCTTGCCCCCTCCTCACCAGCCTCTATTGCAGGGCAAAAGCTGGTCTCTGAATGCAACGGCACAGAAGACTCTCTCTGTGCCCACTGTGAGAGCGGACACTATCAGCAGAGCTGGACCAAGGAGAGGCACTGTGCCCCCCACGATATCTGTGAAGACAGTAAGTGCTCCCTGTGCTCACTGGCCCCAGTCTGTGGGGGCTGCAGGGGCTGGTGTCCGCCCAGGCTCGCCCACCCAGTGTCTCACTTCATCTGTGCTCCCTTTGCCCAGATGCCGGCCTCATTGTGAAGAGGCAAGGAAATGCAACACACAACACAGTGTGCCACTGCCAGGCCGGCATGCACTGCTCTGACACCAGCTGCCAGACCTGTGTGGAGAACCAGCCCTGCCAGCACGGCTTCGGCTTTGTGGAAGGTGAGTCCGACCAGCTCCTCCCTCACAGCGGGACTGATGGCCTGGCAGCATTTAATGTCAGATCTCTGGGGTAAGGGGGGCTCCCTCAGCAAGGTGTCCCTAGCAGTGCTTCGGGAGAGCTGTGCCTGCTGCTGTGCCTGGCAGCGTTGCCACAGGGAGTGCCGCTCACCTCCCGCAGCCCATACTGACCTTCCCGCAACCTCTGCTTCTCTCCAGCCAAGGCCATGGCCCGGATGTCGTCGCCCTGCGAGCCCTGTGCAGAAGGTACCTTCTCCAATGTCTCCTCTAAAACCGAGCCGTGCCATCCCTGGACAAGGTATTGTCCAAGTGCTGACCACATCTTTCATCCATCCCCAGCTGTGCCCAGTCCCTGTGAGCACGTCCTCTGCTGCCAGTCTCCTTAGGGACTGGGCAGCTGGGATGGTCTCTGAGGGACACAGCATCAGGCTGGCGTAGGGCAGGAGTGAGAGGAGCAGAGCTGGGAGGGCGGTGAGGTCCAGGGCAGTGTGGCTGAGCTTGAGGGAGACATCCAGGCACTTGTGACTGTCCCTCAGCATGTGTGCAGAGTGCTGGTCCCTCCAGGGACATCCATGCTGTCGTCTGCACTGGGGAGCAAGGTATGAGGGGCTACGGGGACCCCCCCATGCCCTGTCCAGGCTTTCCCTCCCAGCACACTCCTTGGCTGTAGTCATCAGCCAAGGCACCAGCCCTGTCCGTGGGGAGTCTGGCTTTGAGGATGTCATGGGCTGGCAGGTAGTCCCTGTCTTTAGAAAGCTGCTCGAGGGTTAATTGCACTCCCTGGTAGAAATGTGAGCCTTATTTCCAGGCTGAATTAGTCTTGCTTCAGCTGCCAGCCATTGGATTTCACTTTGCTTTTATCTGTGCCCAGAAATTACCTCCCCATGGAGCCACTTGTAGCCTGTCATCGAGTCATCACTAAGCTGTTCTGCAATAGCTGCAGTGCCAAAGCCCCAGGGTCTCCCTGACCAGGAAGGGTCAAATATCCGCTCCCTCCTGTGCCTTGTCCCCACCTCTACCAGTTTCAGCAACTCCAGACCAGGACCCTGGGGTGGGGCCCTGCTATGAACCCAGTGTCCCCGTCACGCAGCACAGGCCCCAGCGTTGGCCCTGGCCACTTGCCCCTCCAGACCACAGCAGGCTCAGTGCAGGACGCTTTCTCATGCAGCTCTGGTGGCTGCCCAGCCCTGGCCATTCCTCCTCAGGGGCTTTCTGCATGCTCAGGCTGCTGCTGTGGTTACATGGTCTCGTTCTTTCCTGCAGCTGTGAGGAAAAGGGGCTGGTGGTGAAGGAGAAAGGGACGAACATCTCGGATGTGATCTGCGGTAAGTGCCTGGTGCCCTGGGCTGGGCCAGTGCAGAGCAGAGATCTCTCCTGGTGCTCTGGCTCCCACAGCACTCAGAGGAGCTGGCCTGGCCCGCGGGTATTTTTGGGAGAGTCTGACTGCACCACTGGCATGATGCCTTCCTGCTCCTCTCTGTCCCTGTGAGGGATCCCCACGGGACTGAGTCTGGAGCAGGGGCAGCTCGGGGCACTCAGTGTCTTGGTGGGAGTGTCACGCGGGTGCCTCACTGACCCCATCTCCCTCGGCAGAATCGGGCAGGCTCTCCTTCCTGTCGGTGCTGATCCCCATCACGGCCGCAGTCGTCACATGCCTCTTGGGCATCTGCATCTACTGCCTGGTCCATGCAGGTAAGGGGCTGGGACACGAGAAGCGATGCCTTGACCAGAGGGACCATACGGGGCCGAGGATCCGAGCAGGGAGGACAGTGGCAGCTCTGCTGAGAGTGGGGCAGCCTTTCTGGGGACACCACCAGGGCATGGCTCCTTGAGCCTGTTGCCCTGCTGCGTCAGTGAGCTCTGTCCTTGGAAGCAGGCATGTTTACACCGCTGCGGCCCAAACTGGGCCAGCTCTTGGAGGAAAGTGCTAGTGCCCTGTGGGTCCAGCCCAGCTCCCCCGCTGTGGCCCCCAGCCTCTCCAGCCTGGCAGTGGCAGCAGGCACAATGAGAGCTGCAGGACCTGTGGTGCAGCAGCACCAGCCCTGGCTCTGACCCAAGAGCTCCCTGCAGGGCAGGAGCGCTCCCCCCTGACTTGCTGCCTTCTCTGTCCCTCTTTCCGTCTAGATCCCAGGCGACGGGTGCACAAGCAGGTAAGTCTACCCAGAACCCTCCTCCAGCAGCAGGTTGGCGTCCCTCCTGGGCACCAGGATGTGCCAGCAGCAGAGAGCAACAGAGCAGGGGCTGTGGCTCTGCAGGGCAGGAGGGGTGGGGGCTGTCCTAGGGCTGCCTGGCTGGGACAGGACAAGGGCTGGGGCAACCCTGGGATGCTGCTGGCAAATGCTGTGACAGGAGGGACCTGCACAGGGTGAGGCCCTGCTCTGCACAGAAGTGTAGCAGGAGCCTGTGGAAAGACGGGGCCACAGAAGCGGGAGGTGTAGCTGCCTGCCTCTGACCTCTGCCCCTGTGCATATACAGGCCAGGAAGCCTGGAGAGATCCTGGAGGTTCAGCAGCCCATGGAGGTGGGGGAAGAAGTCTTCCCTGTGCAGGAGACCCTTCTTGGGGGCCAGCCCGTGGCCCAGGAAGATGGCAAGGAGAGCCGCATCTCGGAGCAGGAAAGGCTGTGAGGGTGCAGGGCACCACCTCCAACAGAAGCACAGATCGGGGCCAGCCACCGTCTCTTCCATCCCTTCTCCAGCTGGGGAGGAAATCTAGCATCTGGCCTCGCTGCAAATTAGGTGATGCTGCAGTGGACCATAGCACAGCCACCCCCATGGTGATGCCACAGCGGTGCCTGGTCTGGCCGCCTGCCCAGGGCTGCCACGGTGGAGCAAAGCTCAGCTGCCTGCATGGGGATGCAGCGCAGGGCCCGGTCCCACCGCCCGCCTGGGGTGTTGCGGCACAGCGCAGCACGGCTGCTCATGTGCTGACCCCGTGGCAGAGCCTGATGCAGCACAGCATGGCTGCTCGTGGGGAGGCCCTGGGGCAAAGCCCAGTCTGCCTGACCACTGGGGCTACCGGGCCGAGAGTGCGGGCTACTGGTGTGGGACCACCGTGGCAGAGGGCAGTCCAGCCATCCGCCCAGGGTGGCTGCGATAGCACCCAGCCGGGCAGCCCGTGCTGGAGCTGGGCCCGGTGGGTGCCGGTGCTGTGGAAGACTGGGGCAGGGGCAGCAGCCCCCATATCGGCCTGGCCACCAGGCCCCCCGCCCCGTGTCGTCCCAGCGCTGCCGGGCTCTGTGAGGACAAATAAAGGCAGGACTCGCAGTCCCGGCACTGCCTGCCGCCCTCTTCTCTGGGACGGGCGGGACAGGGACCAGTGCCTGGAGCGCGGGGCAGCGGGAACCGGGCCCCCACCCCCCCCCACAC